ATATCGACCATATCCCTTCTAAGCCACGTCCACAAACTTTTTTCGAGAGTCATCACGAACCGTCTTGCGCGAAGACTTGACGAATTCCTACCACCGGAGCAAGCTGGGTTTCTGGGCGGATATGGCACCATAGACCACATCCAAGCAGTGCGGCAGATTATACAGAAGACCGAAGAACATAATCAGCCTCTGTGTCTAGCATTCGTAGACTATGAGAAGGCCTCTCGATTGAGATCTGGTCTGTTCTGGAGTCCCTTCAGCATTGCCAAGTAGATTGGCGTTACATCCAAGTGAAGAAATGTCTAAACGAAGTCGCCACCATGTCTGTCCAAGTACAGAATCAGCAAACAAGGCCCATACCATTGCTTCGAGGAGTAAGACAATGGGACGCTATTTCCCCGAAATTGTTCACAAATGCAATGGAGGACATGTTCAAAACGCTGCACTCGAAAGGGCGTGGCATCAATATCAATAGCGAATACATCTCTCACTTGCGACTTGCATCGTCATTATGGCAGGGACGCTGCAGGACCTACAACAAAAGCTGAATGACCTAGCTGACTCTTCTGTACGCATCGGCCTACGGATGAACTTGGATAAAAACAGGGTCATGTTCAATGAACATGTACTACCGGCATCGATTGCGGTGCACAGTGCCATTCTCAAAGTTGTTCAAAATGATGTGTAGACATTGCAGTTAAATAGAAACAACTTCGAGGAGGAGATGAACAGATTCAGTTGATTCAAGAGATTCAGTTCGGTTGGGCAGCGTTTGTAAAGCTACGTCGAGTCTTCCTTAAGACGAAAGTCTTCAATGAGTGCGTCCTACCCGTCATGACATACGGAGCCGAAACATGGACACTTACGGTACGGCTGGTCCACAAGTTCAAAGTCGCTCAACGTGCTATGGAAAGGGCTATGATCGGCGTTTCTTTAAGGGATAGCATCAGGAATGAGGTGATCCTGCAGAGAACCAAGGTCACCGACATAGCCACCGGATCAGCAAGCTGAAGTGGTAGTGGGCTGGCCATATTACACGCAGAACTGACAACCGTTGGGGAAAACGAGTTCTTGAGTGAAGACCGCTTCTCGGCGAACGTAGTGTAGGACGCACAAAGACCAGGTGGAGTGACAAAATCGATCTAAGTGGTGTGCAATGGGAGAGGCCTATGTCCAGCAGTGGACTGCGATAGGCTGATGATGAAATAATTATCATATGTATGTTTAAAGTAATTAAACTGTGCACACGTCCGTGAGGTACCTTTGGGCTTTAGCTGACAATCAGTGCTGTGGTCACTTTTAGGGACAATAGCAAAGGCTGAGTTGTGGTCTTTTAGTTTTTGTTATTGTTTGTGCTATTCATTACTTTAGCAAAGTGTTTATTTCCTTTTTTTCTTTCTACAGTTGTCGTCATCATTTATCTATATATAAACAAATATATTTATTTATTTATTTATTTATTTTATTCTTTTACATGTTACATATTCATATATGTAATAGTAAATATTTGGCAGTAAAAAACATTTCCTATGGGAAAAAAAAAACTCTTGTTTTCACAATTTTCCTTGCACTTATTCCATAGGTATTTTGTTATCTGGTTCAACTTTCTCAGGACTTCAAAAAATATTTCAAGATTAAAATTAGCTAAATCGGCCCAGCAGTTCTCATGTTTTAGCGAGACTAACGAACAGCAATTCATTTTTGCGTTTATAGATAAACATTTGTCTGGTGATAGCTATGATAGAAATAACGGCAAACTACATATGTAGACGTAGTTTAGTGAAACAATTTTAGCACCGACAAATTCAAGGCTTGATACAAGGCAGTTTTAGTTTACTTGCGAAAAAATGCATATGAAGCATTGCAATAAGTTTGTGCGAAGTGTTGAAATTTTTTAAAAGTTAAGGTTTGAATAGTCGCATTTTTAGAAGTCGTTATCGTTATCGTAGTCTTAGAAGCCCTGAAAGATACTGAAACCCTAAAAAACAAATAATGATTTGCCACGGATTTGGAAAACATGGCGTATTAATAATAAGAAGTTTTTGGTGGGACCTCATTAGATAACTCTACCTTCAACCATATGCCTTTTTTCAAAACCTACTACACCATTTGCGGAGTAGTGGATGTGTTTTGAGATATTTTATAATGTAAATCCCTATACCTAATTCTTTAATTTTATGATGTACCTACATAATTAATCATTTATTTCAATTCTTCTTAATTCATTTTTTATTTTCACTTATGCGACTATTAAAATGTTGTTACACTTTAAAATGCTGTGCATTTAAACTAGTTTTAGTAGGTTTATTATTTTCTATACATAAAATTTAATGTAACAACAAGTGATTGTCCTTAGTAAATAAATAAAAACAGACAGATTAAGTATCCGCTCCTAACTATTATATTGGCCAGCAAGTGCGCTTTTAATTGAAAGCTATAAAGAACCAAAAAAAACGACTTTTGAACTCACAGAGTTTAGGACATATAATTATGACATCTGGAGTTAAAGCGATTAATAGGTATTACACGTTATTAAATTGTCCGTGGCCTTATACGGACTTGCGTTACTTGCAGAAAAAACACAAGATTTAAATATACAAACCTTTATTAGTCCAGTGCTGGACATAGGCCTCCCCTTCAAAAAGGTTATAGCCTACTATACCACGCTGGCCAGACGGGTTGGTATATGGTTGGTTTAAAATTTTCCTTCCCTTTGCAGTGCTGTTGTCCTGAGTAGTTTGCTCCTACGGGATTTTTAGGAGTGGTGATACTCTGTGTTCTTAATCCGTCACCATACGGACATTAAATTAAATATAGAAATTATATGAGACTGGTTGTGTAACGATTGACTTTCAAAAATAATTTAAAGTCTTCCTTTAAGAAGGCAAAGACTCAAACTCTTAATATTTCAAATCAAATCTTAATCTAATGACCAACTACTACTATGTTTTACAGTCTTCTATTTAATATAAAAACACTTTCTGTTTTGAGCCATCATGTAGCCTCTACTTGGTAGAGAAACTTTATAACCTAAACCTTTTTGCATAATGAGCTTTGAATTTTAAAGATCCTATCAAAATTAGTCGTGCGCTTTCAGAGATTATACGCCACAAAAACGGCAAGATACTTGTAAAGATAAATTAATCTTGTAAATAAATTTATAAAGTAAACGTCACGTCATCCAAACTTACTATAATAATTATGCAGGAAATTTTTCAAACATTGATCTTCGGCGTATATTGTTGTTGCCTTCAAAGTTAACATGAATAGAATTTTTAAACACAAGAACCTAGTCTTCAGTTCTACGAGAAAATAACAAAATAAATCAAAGAAATATACTATGCATTTGACTTAAAAACGATGAGTATACCTCTCTATAAAGTGATCGGTCGATGATGTTAAATAATTATATGTGTTTCAAAACTTCTGATAAAATATATATACATAACATTTAGTTTTTTATATGCTGTGTGTGCCATATTTATTGTTGTATATACACACACACGCCACAAATTATGATACACACAGATCTTAGTTTATACTCTATATGTCCATGTGCAGCATCGATGTCTCTAATTGTAACATTTATCGTGGCACTATAATTAACTAAGTGAACACAACTACAGTGTAAACACATTGTGTTAAGGCGTCTCACATGACTGCCTAATGTTCAAACAAGTTGGACTTTTTTCACATTTATGAAATTGCGCTAATCAATAAGTTTTACACAATCAAAATCAAAAACATGATTTATTGGACTGGACATTACCTTTAAAAAGATTCACTCATTCGTGAATCTTTTTAAAGGTAATGTTTATAATAATTAGACATTACCTAATTTAGTCTGCGTTTTTAACACGCCAATGCTTACCCCTTCGGGGATATAGCGTGATGCGTGTATGTATGTAACCTCATTTTTCATCTGACAGAAATTTCATAAGATTTAGATCTGCAGCCTGCTCATTAATCAAGAACAAAATGTAATACTAGTATTTTTTAATCCACGGAGTTTTCTGAATTCAAATGCTTTTTCTGCTTTTACGGCGTTGTTTCATTAAAATATAGTCAGTAACACCGGACGCCTAACGCTTACAATTTCCTAAAGTTGGGCCACATATTGACAACAAAAACTATGAATTTAATGTTTGCCAATGTTGTTAATATAAATTAATTTATTCCTCATATATAATACATATTGTTTCTGCTTCTTATATATAAATAATTTATTTAGTAACAATCCAAGCGATTAAAAAGCTATGTTTACATACGCGGTTTTAGGTATATTGCTTTTGCGTTTTCTTGAATTCCTAATATAACCTGGGGCAGTAACAATTTTATATAATATATTTCATGCCAAAATAATATAGTAATAATACAAGGATGCATATGTAAAGAAAATTTTAACGATCATAATTCAAATATTATTCTGATATTTTTGAAATAAAATTGTTAGTACAATTTATGAGTATTCAATAATTCTACTAATATGCATCGGTTATCAGACTAACCACAGAAAATTACATGCATATTTTATCACATCACTGATTCCACACGAACGTTTTAACGTCATTTGTTATTTATAACTCAACCACATAATATGTAATCAAAAGTTATTTGCATACATCACTACATGACATAAAAACATAGAAACCGAGTATCAGTATACCTTACCATGGAACAGCTGACAGCTATCAACATGTCTCATTGTTTACTCTGCCTCAATTCAATCAAAACCAGTGACAGTTTCCAACTAATCCCGTAAGTTCTGATAACAGCAACCCTTACTTGTCATTTTCATTATACATTGTATTAATAAATTTCAGTCAAAAGTTCTGACGACAAAATTATAAGTAAGCTTTATTTTACGAGCAATTAGCACATTAGGGCTTTTTTCACTTGAGTCAATACACAATCACGGAATAAAAGTCATTAAACACATTGCGGGACGTCGTCAAAGTTTGGTTATGTTTGTTACGTGAGATAAGCATGCGTTTGGCGCAATGGTGAGCACGTGTATCGTGACGCGCGTCGCGCGGTCTACTGGCGGGTTGGCGTTGGCCAGGCGTCGCCGCGTCATGCCCACCTTCAGTCTGAAGCTCGGAACGCCTCGACCTCCCTCGCCCGCACCCGACAGGTAAGCTCTCTCGACATGAAACTCTGATTGAATGGATGAGTTTCCAAATGCTTTTTTTGCCCGCAGCGTGCGACAAATCACATTTTTGAACCGAAAATTTGTGACAAGTGCAACGTTTGAAGCAAGTATTTTAAAGACGTACAATTTAATACGTGCGTTCAAAATTATAAGATCATATTAATAAGATTGTTCAAATATCATTTCGAAAAAATGTCAAAATAAAAATAGGTACTTTTACTTCTTCCTGTGGTTCATTCCAAATTTCTTTTGCACATAGTCAGAAAGTGATAAAGCATCAAAACATGTTCTCGATAAATTAGATAGAGTTGAATTAATTTACTTTGTCACCGTCACGTCACGTATGTCACGTCACGTCAATGTATTTCCTTCGAGCTACTTAGAAAAAATTGACTAACTAGCACTAACACATTCTGACTAAAGTGCAAGTGACATAATTTTATATGTGTAACACACAGACGTTAACAATTGCCACATCTATATAACCCTTTCATTAAGAGCTGTATGTAACAAGTTTCAACTGCTCGCTACGTAGGTACATATTAATTACTGGATCCAAATTAGCGCATTGACCGTACAAAACTTCTCGTTAGAGCCTTGTCAAAACGCTTTGATGGATAAATCGTAATTTAACGTCACGTTTACAAATGTTTTAACTTTCGCTGACAATTAATGACATTTTGTAGCTCTATCAAAGCTTAAAATAAAAAACACATGAAAGGCCTTAACTTTCATACCAAAATTAAACAGAGTTTAAAAATGTTGTTTTGTAATTAATTAACAGTCTTTTAAAAGATTTGTGAGAGAATTGGTGCTTTAGAGATACTCGTACTTAATAAAATAGACGTATCATCATCATCATCAACAGCCTTTACTTTTTTTTTTTACTTTACTGATAGACTGCTGCATAGGCCTCTCCTTAGAAAGGAGGTTTTGGCCTAGTATACCACGCTGGCCAGACGGGTTGGTATAAAGTTTGTGCCATGTTTTCCTTCTCTTGGCAGTGCTGTTGTCCTGCGTAGTTTATTCCCTTACTCGGCTCTTACGACAACCACGTATAATAAGCTATAATACTTGTCAATAACATTTGATTTTTTCTGAGAATTAATCTTCATATCATTTAATAACTGTAAATATTTAAGTAAACAGATTCTACATCCTCAATGTTGATTAACTAAAATTGTCGTCATGCCAGATTTCTTGATGATAGATGATGATAGATATTAAGATATCTTATAAAATATAGGCTTTATGAATACATTTTCAACTTTACATTCTTGAATGTAAAATAAAGTTCCTGTTTAAAATGTAGTTTCCTGAAGTTGTTACATTTTTAAGTTATTGACGAAATCTACCAAACCTAACCTAAGATAAGATTACACATTTCTTACTTTTTCACACATAGGTACGTACGTTACGTATTTAGAAATGCACGCAATATCAATTTACAAGAATTTTAGTATTATTGTTATGACATAATTATTCCTAAGTTCACTAAAATCAGCGCTTCAGCATTTCCAACAATTCAAATAGTACACCAAAATATGCTGAGCAATCTCTATTGTTCTTGGACAGTTGAATCGTCATTTCTTTTGTTTGTATTTTTCCTTATCTTTAATACGGTCTTCTATAGCTTAGAAGTACGTTATTGTACAGGTCGGGGCCTCCTTTTTAGCTGTTATTTGCTGTAATTGACATGTAGTCATTGAGCATAAAATAATAAAGCGTAATTGTAATTATTGGACATTATACAATAATTTGTTTAAAAGCAAGGTCCAACGCTTATATTACAAAAATGTGACCTTCATTAACAAGATACACGACTGATCTATATTTTTATCTCTGCCCACATAATATTATACTTGAGTAAAAAGGAAAACATATACAGCGCTCTGAGGACGTCGATAGGCGGAGGTGGTATGAAACAACGTGAATTATCGTCGCCACGTGGATACATAGCGCTCTCAGTACGTGATTAAGCACCTCTTCGTATTCTACCATATATTCTGATAAACTAACTACATGGAGAACATCAATAGTGAGAAGGTATTACATAGATTACCTTGTGCAAAATTTAAAAAAAAATCGTTTACTAATGACTTGATAAGTTACATTCAGACAGCTATTTAATATATTCGCTATTTAGGTTATTCGGCGGTTCCAAATTAAATATTACTGACTAGAATAATAAAAAAAAAGGTTTTGTTTTTAAATATTCGGTATCGTTCATATAATACAGATGTCTGATTATTTAGTAAAGACTGGGCGTGCATCATGAGCCCATCCACGGCAACTGAAACACTATACCTTGTCTTCGTAGTCTTTTAAGCACATTACATATATTACACACTAGATACCTATTTACTTTGTGTGCCTTAATTGTATATTAGTAACGTTACGTTCCACTTACAGCATAGACTTCCTTAAAGGCCCTTAGAGATCATAATAAGTGTTAAGAATGTGATGCAAGAATGTTATGGTTCCAATGCATTATAGGATTAAGTAAATTTCAAAGTCTTTCAGAGCTGTATACCTGTCCTCAGAACAGGACAAATGTAAAGCTGTTTGCTTATTAAATAAATATGTGAGTACCTTTATCTAATAGTGATAAAGTTGGAGGCGAAGAAACCTCCATCTAAGGATCCTGCGTAGGAGTATGAGATATATACTATTTGATTCAATTTATTTGCAAAAGTGTATAAATGGAGAGTATTAAGGGGTTATCAGTAGGTACGGTGTTACACAATGAAACATGATGCAATAAACTATGTCAGTTTTTTACTGGATAAAGGTGCTAGAGCTAAACATGCTAGTTGCTCCTATTCGAGTTTATTGTACTGGAATTGCAGGATTAACTGGTTAAAAATCTTAGGAAACTTCAATAACCTTTTTAATCATTTAAATAAATCACTTTTTTACAAACGAGCAGACGGGTCACCTAACATGGTATGTGACAACCGACGCCCAGCGACACCCAAACTCAAGAGTTAATTGTTCCACGAGCGGAATGAGAGTACGTCGACCTTACTAAACAAATAAATGTATTTTTACACACACTTTTAATAGCTTCACCTTTAACATCAGTTTTGGCTACACAAAGTCGATAGGCTTGCTATTTATAAAAAAGGGCGTAGCTATTTATAAATGGGAAGTTATTAAATTTAAAAAAGAAAACCATCACAATATCCTTAATGTGATAAAGTGCGAATATATTAAAAGAAATTAAACACAGACACAAAACAAATGATCACGATTATCATACAACTATTTTTCCTGGGCGCACACAGAATATTTTAACCCATATGGGTTGAACCTCACTGCTGAGCCAGAGCTTATGCTCTTCAGACTTGTCAACTACTAGATCAGCGGGCCGGTCAATTGTATGAATAAATAAATTAGTGTATCCAAAATTAATATCCACTGTGCACATGTTTAGAAAAGTATAAGTATGCTATTTTAACCTTATAACTTTTATTAAACTTCATTTTTTATTTATAATAGATTGCTGACTTTCCCATCATAAGTTCTGTATTTTTGAAGGGATTAACAAGCTTAACCTCATCTATGATGATCTCCAGTTAAGAAGATTATACTTAAGACTAGTGTTTTTTTTTTCGGATTAGTGATATTGAGGCGTACATAAAGAAGGTACAGAGACGTAATGTTCTACTTTTTAGAAAACTAGATTAATAATAAATTTTACTAACTTCAATCATCCAATGAGGTGGTCGACTCGTAAATTCTGTTTTTGAATAAATATTTTTTTTTTTATGATGCGGACTCTCAGAGACAATCTTATTAAAATAAAATAAAACAGGAAGTTAACGTTTTTTTAAAGACAACGCCTGCACTAGGAATATATCTTGTATCACGAGGGACTTCACAACTTATATTAAACGGACACAAAGAACACACAGACACAGAACAACAATCTTTGGATCTCACTAATTATTGTCCCATGTGGGTATCGAACTCACAACACTCAGGGCTACTACGCTGAGTGTTGTGGGTTTAATCTGGCGGCGATGAGTAGCGAAGCAGTAGCAGATAGCGGCGAGGTGTATGCTTAAACGATTACGCCATCTATGCTGTCAAAGAGAAATAAAAACAAACACTTTATGTTTTTGTCACCGTAAGTTTAAAATACCCAGGCGTAGATCCAGGCTCGCATTTATTCCTCATAAATTACTATGCAACCCAAATAATGTAATTACTAATTTATATCAGTAAGTATAAATAAACTGAACACATTTATACGCACATTTGTTATAAATTTAATCAACATTAAATAAAAAATAGAAATTAGTATTTAGCCAAGGAACTGTTTCCGATAAATTAGCATTTTAATGAACACAATGAATACATTAAATCAAAAACTAATCTGATAATTGAATTTTGAGTTGACATTAATCAAATCTATCTATCATTTAAAACCATAAGAAAAAAGTTTATTAAAACTAAAAAAAACAGAAAGAGATCCACTGTCCATACACACTAAGTTAGTGAACCGATCATGACAACCAATTAAAATGTGTTGGATTCGTTAATTTGAACGATATGAACCCAAATTCGTAAGATATAAATTGAAGAATTCCACCAAATAAGTATCAGGTGGATAGTAGAATCCGTCACACCCTCAGATCAGCTCCAAGATAACTAATTATAGAATTATCATCTTAACTACAAATATGAACAGCGTGACTAATGACGGAATCGACTGCTATCAACATATGAATAAAATGAATTTGTATTTATAAACATTACTTACTTTCAGCAAATGTTTATTCCAAAACCATTAATAAAATGTCTCAGTCTGAGTAAAATTTCTCATCAACAAGTTTGACAAACATTAAAGTAGTATTTTAAAAGCTTTTTATGCGGAGTCTACTATAAAACAAGCTTAGCATTATGTTACATTTGAAATTTGTAATATAATCGTGTTAAACGATGTTACTTTTTTAAACAGGGTTAGATTGTTTGTAATTAGTTTTCATAATCAACTTCACAAAACATGAAATGCTTAGAAGAACATGACCAAGCAAGAAAATTTTAATCAACACGCTACTTAAAGTCAAAAAGCAAATTTATCAATTGCCTAGCATCGCTCGCTCGTTAGTACAGAAATAACATATCATCATCACCATCAACAGCCTTTAATAACCCACTGCTGGATTAAGGCCTTTCCTTGCAAAGGACGTTTTGGCCTACTATACCTCGCCGAACAGACGGGTTGGTAATTAGTTTGTTTCAAGTTTTCCTTCTATTTGCAGTATTTTTGAAATAAGATATTTAAAGAACCTCAAGTTTAAATTTATTTTAATATTCTTGGTATAATGAGCTAATGAAGAAAAAGATTGTACTAATAAACTAAGGAGTGATGGTTACCTTTAGACTAAGAAATAACGACCTAGTGTTTTAGCGATAGCTGAAGCCAAGTAAAAATTCACAATTAAGCCCATAAAATATTCACAATATCAAGACTTTTTACACGCTTTATATTAGCTTCACTTGTATGTTTGTTTGTATGTTTGTAACCGACTCTTTTGGGCGTGATTTTGACTGACTTTAAACGGTCAGAATTCGTTCAAACTTTGTAGATATATCGAGGACCGATGACAATACACTAATTTAAAAAGAAAATAGTTTAAAAAACTAAAAAACACGCTTTTCTAGAAAACCAAACTAGAAAATAGAAAATAAATTTTAATAAATTTGAAAAAAGCGTGGGGTGCTTTTTACTTTTAACAACAGGCACCAAACGCTTTTTTTGGTTTGGTTTGGTTTTCTATAAAAGCGTGTTTTTTAGTATTTTTTACCTATTTTTTTTAAATAACATTAAACACAATAGTCTAGTATACAAGCTCACGGTTTGGCTAATTACATGATTATCTGAGTTTATCGGATTCTTGTATTATGAGAAGTAAATTTACTAGAGCCAACAAACTTATAGTGCTAATCAATATATTAACCGTATTCAATATTCTTGGCATTTACTGATTGCAAGTATCGTTGTACATGTACATTCATACATGTAGCAAAACATTGCTCTCCAAAATTTGACTGAGCTTCAAGCATCACTAAACATGATTAATTGTTCTGCTTAAGTACGAATTATGATGCTACTCACAATTTGTACACAAATGAAATCAACTAAATTTACTCTCTTAGTGAAACGCAGCATTATTATATTTGTTTGTATGAAATAAACAGCTGAATTGAAATGATTACGTAGTATTATGAGATTATGGAGCTCGTCGGCCATTTTTGGAGCAGCTAAACTAATTTAAAATGTAAGAACATTTTACGCTCGGAAGACGTCCTTTATAAAATGAGTTGGAAAATTACAAAATATACAATGACGGACGCTTTTTTGACAATGAGCTGAACTCCTCTATTTTTTATGAGCAATTATATAACAAAATCTTTTCAAGTTTTTGAATTTAAAAACTTAAACGCAGTTATTGCTCATTGTTACTTGGAAAGAAAGAGAGAAGAAAGAAATAAGAAGTTTATTTTAATGGCTTTCCTTTTTTTTCTTTTTTTTTCAAAAAGACAACTCCCGCACTAGGAATAAATCCTGTGTCGCGGGGGACTTTACAAACATACATGAAACGGACACAAAGTACACCCAGACTCAGAACAACAATTTGTGGATCACACAAAGTGCTGGTCCATGTGGGGTTTGAACCCACAACACTCGGCGTAATAGGAAGCGGCGTAGCGACCGCTGAAACCACTATGCCATCCGTGCAGCCAAACATTGCAACACAATCACAATATTATTGTAAAGATTCAGAACATATTTAGTATTGTAACACGTAACAAATGCATTATGATCATATCCAAGTATTACATAGCAATGAATATTTGTTAACATTATCCCATATTCTGAGACGTAAGTCGTTTAAAATATAAAAACCGTCCGTAAACAGGGATCAAAAAAATAGTAAGTAATATCTGAACAATCGTTATTTTTGAT